AGTATTTCATTCCTCTTTCTAAGTTGGAGCGAACAAAAAAATGTCACACCATCTAGTGGACGGGGTACTAACCAACTGCATACTCGAAATTTGCCCGATTCCTCTGAATATGGAAGAAAAACCTCATTTCTTTAGATTTGTTTACTGCCAGTCTTCAAGCATAGCCCACTGACTAATAAGAAAGTTTTTCTTCCTTATTCAGAGGAATTGGGCAAATTTCGGAGTTTATATTTAGAGAAATATTTTCTATTCGTAATAACTTTCTCTGCTAATTGTTCACCCACATTAGTGTAGAAATGGCAGAAGGTGTTGGCCATATCTTCTTTATCACTTGTGATGTGTCCATCTTCACCTTTGATCTGTACAATGTCAATGTCAACTCACCTATTGTGGACAATGTTGGTCCAACAGTGGCATCTTGACTCAAATCCCAGTCATTAGCCAGAAAAGATACAGATGTCTTCAACTCACAAAATGATTGTTTTTTTACCCCAACAACAGTTATTCCATGTACCTTACAATCAATTCCATTATTGCGACATTTGATGATGTTTATTTCAATTATGGGATAATACTGAAAATAATTGTATGTAATAATGCAAATATAGATAATCGTCAGAAGAATGAAATTTCCAGATATCATTCCTGTGTTTCTATTCATGACATCTGGATATTCTATTCTTTTGACGTTTGTCAAAGGAAAAATCTTGTTTTCGAAGAAGGCATTCTTCACAAGTGAATTTATTGGGAAAAAAGCTTTTTGGCTTTCTACTTCTCCATCTTCATACATGAAAAAGAGGAAAATGTCTGAAGAAAGGAAGAAAGCAATCAAGTTCGAATATTTTTATCTTAAAAACAAATATCTGTCAAATCTCCTTATTGAACTTATTGGATATTGATAACGGACAAGGATACTTTTTCGAAACGTTATTCATCTAAAGAAAAGTAAATATTGAAATAATTTATTTTCATTGATAATTAAATTTGTTGGTAAAATTCATGAATATACATTTCAAGTCTTTTCTTCAATTCTTGAATTATATATGAATATTTATTATATTTGATGTTTGTACAATTATAAAAGGGGTTATCCCGTGCAATAAATAAATAAAATGAAAAATAAAAGTCACTGACGAATTGGACTTTTCAGTGGTTACCATTTCATTCATTTTTCAAATTGTGGATGATTGTAAACACAAAAAACAGTAAGAAACATATTCACTTCATTTTGAAAACATCCACTGAGCAGATCATTACGTGACATTTTCGTTAAACAGAGTACAAAACAGCAACACTTGCTTCACTGTACAGTATCTTTTTCAGGCCTGATTAATATAATGTACTTTATTACATTGAATGAGTGAAGAAGGTTTTGCATAAAAAACAAGTGTGCAGTTTTGTAAACTATTTAGTAAAAATTATGAATACTTTGACCCGTTACTTGACGAAAATAAATAATACTATCCATGATAATAGTCATAGAATTTTCACAATTAATTTTATTTAAAAAGTGCATCGCTACAGTGTAGCTTCATCAATTACTTGTACATTAAACTATTCTACAATGTCTTTTATATAACACTACTTAAGAACAAAACTTATTAGAAGTTTTCATAGAAGTAATACTGTACCTGATTTTTTTATCAAAATCTATCTGTTTTACCAGATTTAATCATTCATCTAATAAGTTTTGTCATTACCTAATGTCATATAATAATAATAATATATTTATTCAACAAANGTGACTGAGTCTGCCGTCAATTTTTACGCATTGCTTTCTTCTTTCTAGATAACATTTTATCAGTTTATATATATTGCCTCTCAACCCTGCACTTTCAACGGTTTTCAGGAGTTTCTGGTGACACACTATGTCAAAAGCTTTTACTAGATCCACGAATATGCAAAAAGAGGGGTGACTTTTTTTGAGCATTTGATATAAAACATACTGTAGAATAGTTTGATGTACCAGTAACCTATGAAACTACCATATAGCTAAACGGGTTTTAAATTTTTGGGAAAGAAAATTTTTGGCTTTCTACTACTCCACCTTGATACAAAAAAAGGGATGAGGGAATCTTCCAAAGAAAGGAAGAAAGTAATCAATTTGAAAATAAGTAACTCTATACATGGATGTGTAGATCATGCAAAGAAGTAACTTTCAGACACAAACTGAAATAAATAAAAAAAAATAAATAAAATTTATTGTGAAAATTCTATAACTATTATTATGGAAAGTATATAGTAAGGAACTTAAAAAGTGATACCTAAATGCGTAATCATGAATTTTCATCAAATATGTTCCCAACTCATTCACATATGATTATTGGAATATATTTACCTTATCAGCATTTGATAGTAGCACAACTGACGTGTCATGGCTTTTAACATTAACTGTATTTAATTCTGACATCGAATTCGTTGAATGGCCTCCATTCACTACAATTACTGAAGGCATGTAACTATTATCTGAAGGATCAACTCCAACCTTTAAAGATTTTATCAAGATGTCAGGAAATATTTCCAATCTAATCCAGTGCTGAAAGTATTATGAAATTATTGAAAATATTTAGAGCAATGGAGATAAATATATTAATTTACCTTTCCTTGTGTACCACAACTTTGCCACACGGAACCAGGTATTTCAAATCGTACTGCATATTTTGAAGATACCGTCACATTTTTCACTATCCTTCCCCATTCGAGTATCATCTCTCCATTTGTATCAACAGTATCATGTCTATAATATCGGCCAGCTCTACCAGCATATAATTCAGGAGACTCTAGAAAAAATAAATGAAAATACAGTAATGATACTAATCAGTCAAATGGTACTAATCAATAAAATGGTTTGATTCTGCTCTGTTTATGTAATCAGGCCACATCTTAATCAAATGTAGAACATTAGAGAATTTCTACATCATAATTTTCGGAAAAGATTTCTAGTATTCTTCTATAAACTTTTGCTTCTCTGATATTTCAAAAGAGTTTCACAAGAGTTGAAACTCTGCTCAACATATGAATCAGTTGGTGAATTGTTTCTGTAGAATAAATGCATATTCTCAAGAAGAATACTCCTCTCTGATCAATCTTCAGTTCCAAAGATTCAGTCACTTATAACTTCATAATTCACTTATGATTTGATGTCAAAAGAAGTTAGAAATATTTTTTTGTTCATACAAAAAAAAACGAATGAATAAAAAATGGTAAACGACAAATTTTGAAAATGTTGTTGATACAAATCATCTACCAACAGTGATTCTTAAAAATATTCAAATTATTCAATCATTGTCAGGAAAACCTCATATTTCTCGAACAATTCAAAGTACTTTGTCAAGTTTAATTATAGAAATTCTGAACATCATACATCATAAGAAAGTACTTCAGATCATCCAGAGGAGCTATCCGAAGATGAGAATCTGAAAGCCAAACAGAATCATGGAAATGCTGTGTTCAAAACTGTTGTTTTCAGCTGAGGGACAAAGACGATGGACTGCCAATGGGATCATCAGTTGCACTACTCATATAGCTCTCATATACATGGGATGCTCTAAAACGGTGGTTGTTGAAGAAAGCTACAAGGAGTCTCGAGTCTGGTTGAAATACGTTGATGACACCTTGGACACCAAGTATGAAACAAAGGGAGACACAGAACTAAACACCTTTCTGCTACACTTCAACAGCGTGATACCTTGTATAAAATTCACCTAACTGTAAAGAGGACCGATAATAAGCGAATACACATGTCGATAGAAAATTACCTGACACAGGACACTATTTCAAACCCAACTAACACTAATCTACCAAGAAAGTATTCAGTCTCTGTGAACTGAATGCGTAAAAGCAAGCGGGACATAAGTGGAACCACCTATCGGTGTGACACCCAAGTTAGCTTGCCAAGTTTTTATGTCAGCGTTAGTGGTTTGACCAATCTTTAAAACTAATAACTAACTGTGTTAGCAGAAATTTGGAAAGATATCCTGAAACGCTATCGGAAAACGAATCCACGTTTCTAGAAATAATGTAAAATGAAGATAAACAGATGAGCACTCCTCCGACCACCCACAATTTAATTTTATTTCTGTTTACCTTCTAAAGATAATAATAATAAACATTAACTCGTATTTATTTCCAAGAAACTACATTGGTTTATACAGGGAATTATTTATACAAGAAATATTCATATGTAAACATATAACTTCAAAAGGAGCTATTTCAGAGTTGGTCTAGTGACAAAACAAATATGATGAAGTAAATTAAAAGTGAATTAATAAAACTAATAGTTCTTAAATGCTATTTTTTATTTTTCTGTGTTTAATGTCATTTGGTAATTCATTATATGCAATTATTCCTTTGTAAAATAT